TCCCCCCCCCCCCCCCCCCCCCCCCCCAACTGGGCAAGTTTGAACAATGGGTCCCACGAAAACACGGACTGCGATATTATTATACCATTCTGTAGATATCAAGCTGTAGGCTGCGATAATTGTCTGTGCGAAGTCGCGACTAGGGATTGCATCCTCTCGTATTTTGTCAAATTCAGATCCACCCTAATGCCGCACACTAGAATGCATCATGACCTCACAAGTTGAGCCTGCGCTCAGAGACCTGATTTCGACATACAACGAACTCAACAGTTCCACCATCGAGGAGCTTGATTCGGAACCCAGTCCCTTGGAGTTTATGCGTTTCGTCTCTAGAAATTCGCCTTTCGTGATACGGGGAGCGGCATCATCGTGGAAAGCTACAAGGAAATGGAGCTCGACGTACCTCAGATCAGCCATGGCTGGGCAGACTGTCAATGTTGCCGTTACCCCTCACGGGTTAGTATGGCCCTCTTTTGTTGTTAAATTTTCTCTCCAGCTGGCTCTTCACGAATGGCCATGGGCTCATACCAAATGCTTCCACTTCTTACTTGTAAATACAAATGGGGTTCGTCCTAACTTAGCTTCCAGCAATGCCGATGCGCCTACGTATTCGCCAAAAGATGGAGTCACCGTCCTAGCAAAGCCTCACGAGGAATCTCAAATGTTTGATGATTTTCTTACATACGTTACGAAGCAGGAAATGGACAAAGCTTTCCCGGAGGATGCAGAGGTGCGATATGCACAGACACGTCAGTCTCTCCATCTTCCAATTCTGCCAGCTATCCTGCCCTTCTAGGCAGGGGGTAGTACAACATCGTCCCAGATCGTCGACTGATGTATAAGGGTTATCAGAAAATGACAATTTTAGAGACGAGTACTCTTGCTTGTTCCCAGACGCCCAGAAAGACATTCCATTCGCGCGCATTGCACTTCAGAGGAGTCCTGATGCAGTGAATTTGTGGATAGGAAACTCCCGGTCTGTAACGGCAACTCATAAAGATAATTTTGAGAACATATTTGTGCAGGTAATTGGCAGAAAACACTTTGTTTTGTTACCGCCAGTCTGTCATCCTTGCATGAATGAGGCTTTGCTTACTCCAGCTACCTATGTGCGCGACGAGACGGGCCTCTCTATTCGCGTTGATGAAGGGGCTGACCTTGTCCCTTTTGTGACTTGGGACCCAGACGATCCGCAAACAAATTCTACTGCCTTCTCTAGGTTGGCGCAACCAGTGCGAGTTACTCTTAACCCTGGGGACATGTTGTATCTACCAGCCATGTGGTGAGTCTTCCACCCTATTTTCGGCTGCAGCAACTAAGGGTTTTGTAAACCACAAGGTATCACAAAGTCAGCCAATCTAGCATACCGGGTGGAGAAGGATTTGTCGTCGCCATAAATTACTGGTCAGTCAAAAGTTCAAAAGTTCCAGCGTTATACATGCACGACTTCACGATTAGCTCTTCTAACGTGAGAGTCTTAAAGGTACGACATGGAGTTCAGTGGACCAGCCTACCCAATGGTCGCTCTTGTTCAGACCTTAGCAAATGGTATACTTCGTAAACCAAAGGACGATGACTGAGCAACAAAGACTTGACATAGATTCGCTGATTATGCGAGATGCACATTCCTAACCATTCCGCCACCTTCTCATTTTTTCTTCTTCTGAGAAATCCTCTTTTGTGCTCTCAACTCCTTCTTCATCCTAGGATCTACCATGCGGTAGCGCCCCCTGACACCCTTTGGTCTGCCTTGAACTCCCCTATTCAAGCCGCGGGCCACCACCAGCTTGGCCGGTTGTGTAGGCTTCTTGCGAGCAGCTTTGCTCAACAATTTGGCTATACTCTCCGCCTTTTCTTTTTCCGTCATACCTTCATCATTGGCAAGCATGTCGGACTTCTTTTTAAGCTTCTCTAGCTTTTGGGCAGCCTTCAGCTTCTTTCTTGCCTTTGCCTCCCGAACCTTCTTGATCGGTCGTGCGTTGAAGGCCCGAAGCTTCTCCTTGATGGCATTTGCAGCTGCTTTTGTAATGGGCTTGTGCGGTTTATCGTGTTTGCCTTCATCATCAATGAACCATTCTGGCAATCCCTCCTTATCGCGGAATGCATGCTTATTGAAGCCGTCATCAATCGCGTCATGACTCGTCTTCTGACCAGTAGCAAGTTGATGAGCTAGTGTCATTGCTTCAGCAGTGATTATGTCGATATCTAAGGCAAAAGTGTCAGCTATTACGTTTGGATGTGCAAAACTAGGGTTATTCACCATGTACTTACCAAGTTTCCCGTCCGGAAGACGCTTGTCCTCCTCCCAGTCATCGGCATTATTGCTTTTGACAACCTCAAAACCATTATCCTCATCGTCATCATCTCCCTGCAAGTGAGTTTGGTTGGTCCGAGTCTGAGACTGCACTGCTTTCTTGCTACTAGCATTTGCTCCATTCAGCTGTCCGTACTTGGAAGATTGGCTGTTCACTGCAAGTCTCTCGGCAAAATTGTTGTCAATTATATCAACATCCTTTTCGCTGGTAGTGAAGTCTTTGAAAATGTCCTGACTGAAGAACGCTGCGGCTCGCTGAGACAGCCCGTCTGATGACGGTGCACTGTCATCGAGATCTGTCAAAAGGCTTCTTGCTGGTTGGTCTTCCTCTTCATCTGAAGAGTCATCCTCCTCCTCCTCAAGCTCACTTGAATCTGACTTCTCTGCATCCTCGTCCGCGGACAGACCCTCCCATTCGTCATCGCCACGCTCTTCTCTGGCTTTTTTGGCACGGTATTTGGCGTCGGCTTCGGCCTTCCGCTCACGATAGTTTTCGTACATGGAATCGAGTTCTCTCTCCAGGAGATCTTCCTCATCATCGCTTTCATTTTCACCTCCATCAGATTCTTCAGCAACATTCTGGGCTGTCATCGGGGCTTGATCTCGAACGACTACCATCTTGCCACGATTCAGTCTGCGTAATGCGCCTGACCTATCCGCAGACTTTAAAGAAAACATGGCCCCCTCCCCAATTGGTCCGGATTCCTCCATACCAATATCCATTGGGGCAACCATGTTGAGCTGCATACGGACAATCTCGCGTTGCTTTTTCTCGTTTTCTTTGCGTCGTTCTCGTTTCTTCTTTGAGTTCTCTTTATCCTTCATACTTTGCAATTCCTCCTGGAGGCGAAGTTCCTCGTCCATTGATTCGACCTCAACCACCTCCTCCGCGATCGCAGCTTCCTCCTGGTCTCTCTCCTTTGTTGAAAATCCGAAAATACCTCTCGCCTTAAGCCGCCACTTCAGGAGAAGCTTGAAGTCTTTCCGGCCCAGGACTTTCAGGTCTTGGCAACACTGTCTGATCTCTTCAGTAGTTTCGGGGAGTTTGTCCAAAGCGGCCAAGGCTATATCACCACCATGCGGCTGCGAAAATGTAAGCTTATTACAAGATCCGAGAATAGCGATTGGATCAGTGGTTTGAATGAATTCGCTGGCAGGAACTTCTTTATACAGGATATAATCGCCTTCGTCATAGCCTTCTCGTTTTCTCTTCTTGACTTCAGGATTATATACTTTGGCCTCGTTGTTTGGCGTCGCCCCGGTAAGCTCCGCGAAAACATAGCGAGGGTCGAGAAACCGGGGGTCGATGCGCTTTGGAGCTTTAAATCCTCTGCAAACGACGAAAATTTCCGCAGAAACATTTCGAGAGGAAGGCGGCTTTGTGGCCTCGACTTTAGTAAACAGCTGGTTGAGCACCCATAACAATGGGTTATAGTCCTTCGATCGGAAAACCTTGGTGACAAATGTGCCACCTTCAACTAGAAACTCGGTCGCCAACTTCATAGACTGCAAAGCAAGCTCTGCCTGGTTAAACGAGTCCTGGGCCCATGCGGTACCGACATTTGGTGCACCATCGTGCAAGACAGTGTCTGCTTTCCATGTTTTCAGATGTTGTCGAATAGTGGCACGGCAATTCTCGGTCGTAATATCGCTCTGAAAAGTTATGACTTTGGGTATTGGCTTGATTGGTGCAAGGTCGACACCAATTATCAAACTATTCACCGGCATTACCTCAGCAGCAACTTGACACCACGACTAGTAGCGAGAATCAGCTGGCAGGTCTTGCTTTAGAATGATTTCGAAACTTACGCCGGGTGCAGCGCAAAGATCCAGAAGGACCTTGCTTTTCTCCAAGAATCCATATTTCTTATTCAACTGAATAAGTTTGAAAGCCGCTCGGGCACGATATCCTTTTTCCTTGGCAAGTTTATACCACTTGTCAAGACGGCCCTTGCCGTGTTTCTTCTGAATCGCCATAACGGCGGACGGCCAATGAATGGAAACAGCGGATAGGCGCTCTTCAATCCGCGCTGTCGAAACCAGAAATTTTGAAGCAAAAAGTTGCTGATAAAAAGGCCGTTCACGTGCTGATAAAGATAATGATGGGGTGGCCCTGTGGCCTGCGGCTCCACTCTTTTATTCTATGACTTCAGTGGGATGATTGGTGGCGCGTGTTGTTGTGACCAACAGGAGCCAGACTCCCATGGCACCATAGCCAATCCTAATTCTTGGCAGACATTGATTCGCAACTTACATTACCAATTCTTGAAGGCTTACCTCCAGACTCGAATCGGCCTTCTTGCTTCAGGGTCCCGTTCAGGGCCGTATGCACAACTGCATATTTAGCCTCAACAAACTACTCTCATTACGATGAGTTCACGGATTCTTGCTGCAGGTTTGCGGCCTGCGACAAGACGTGCATCCGTCAGTGTCAGCCGACAACTACACCGATTCCCTAACGGGGGGCTGTTGCAAGCAGACTCATCCGTCCGAGCGACCAGAAAGCGCATGTGGTTTGGTGGCAACTCGTTTCATAATGCTGTCATTGTCAGGAATGCCTCATTTGCCCGTTTCTTACCTAAGCTAGTTGTCAAGTTCGCTCGAATACCAGCAATGTTCGGTGGCTTGGCAATCGGTGCTTTTGCTTGGGTTCAATATCAAGCAAATCGTATGTCGCTATAGTACATCTTCGGCATTTTTGGCTTTATTCTTGAGACTATTCTAACTCTTTGCAGAGGCCAGCACTTATGCTATCGAGCTTTTCAACACGACAAAAGATACCGTAACGTCGACGGCGACAAGTTTATTCGACACCGCGAAGGATGTTGCTGCTCAAACCCGGCAAGGTTGGGAAAACACGAAGGAGCAGGTCGAGACCCCAGAATGGCTAAAACGGATGCTCAGAATCCATGAAGATATCGGCACCGGAGGCAACGGCGGAGCGGGTGGCGGGGGCGGGCCAAAACAGAGCAGAACAGGTACTGGGGCGGCTGCTGCTGCGTCTGCCGCAGCCTATGGCTACGAGAAGACTTCAGAAAATGATTCTCGAGATTCAGGGGAGGTGGCGAGAGACGATCAGATGATGGTTCTCACGAAGAAGATGATCGAAATCAGAAGTATACTTCAAAAGGTTGGCCAGTCCAGCTCGTTAGCACTTCCATCCATCGTCGTCATTGGCTCGCAGTCATCGGGGAAGAGCTCTGTTCTGGAGGCGATTGTTGGACACGAATTTCTTCCAAAGGGCTCGAATATGGTTACTCGCAGACCAATCGAACTCACCCTAGTTAACACACCTGCGTCAGAGGACGAGTACGGAGAGTTCCCGGACCTGGGATTAAGACGTATTTCGGATTTTTCATCCATCCAAAGAACGCTGACCGAACTCAACATGGCAGTATCGGACGCCGACTGTGTGTCTGATGATCCTATCCATCTTACTATTTATTCTCCTAACGTTCCCGACTTGTCTCTGATTGACTTACCTGGTTACATCCAAGTTGTTGGACAAAACCAACCACTTGAGTTGAAGCAGAAGATCTCGGAACTATGTGATAAATACATTCAGCCGCCAAATGTGATTCTAGCCATCTCAGCAGCTGATGTGGATCTCGCCAATTCAACCGCCTTGAGGGCATCTCGCCGAGTAGACCCAAGAGGCGAGCGAACTATTGGCGTCGTTACCAAGATGGACCTAGTTGACCCTACTCGTGGTGCCGCTATTCTAAATGATAAACAATATCCACTTCGACTAGGCTACGTCGGAGTCGTCTCCAAAGCACCGTCTTCTCAGGGATTGTTCAAGATGGGACCAGCAAATTTAATGTCAGCGATAGCCAAACATGAGAACAGTTTCTTTTCATCTCACCCTCTCGAGTTTGGCCCGGATGCCGGTGTCAATGTCGGCACCGTAACATTACGCAAAAAGTTGATGCATGTCCTTGAGCAAACCATGTCATCCAGCTTACAGAGCAC